ACTCGCTGCTCTCTGTCAGTCAGACTTTGGTGCATTTTAGCAAACTTAGCCGTGACCTGAGTCTGCACACTCTTCACCTGTTCCTGAAAATGTCAGACATCCAACCATTACACACAGTAACCAGAGACCTGAGACAACACACCGTGTACACACAGTAACCAGAGACCTGAGCATTCACACCGTGTACACTCAGTAACCAGAGAAACTGAGACATCCCATCGTATACACACAGTAACCAGAGACCTGAGACATCCCACCGTGTACACACAGTAACCAGAGACCTGAGACATCCCACCGTGTACACACAGTAACCAGAAACACTGAGACATCCCACCGTGTACACATAGTAACCAGAGACACCGAGACATCACACCGTGTACACACAGTAACCAGAGACCTGAGACATCACATCGTGTACACACAGTAACCACAGACACTGAGACATCACACCGTGTACACACCATAACCAGAGACACACTGACAGATATCAGCCCCAACACAACTTACCTTAACTTGTGAAATCTTTTCTCTCTGTTTGGCTTCAGTTTGTAGAGCAGTTTCCTTCCTCTGTGTGAGAGAAGCTATGGAGGACTTCACTTGATCCTGGAATAAACGCACAGAATAACAGTGTTTGAGGGGAAAACCTGACGTGGAAACGGAATGAATCCCTCGTGAGGGTCTCGGTACCTTGTAGATTTCAGCAGCTTCGTCAATGGGCAGAAAGCTGTGACCTCTGTGCTCTTTCGCATCTCTGCAAATGGAACAGATCAATTTCTTGTCATCTTCACAGAACAGCTTCAGGTCCTCCCGGTGTTTCTCACACTGACGTTTAACTGCCGCCTGTGTCGGGTCCAGAGTGAATTCACGAGCTTTCTCCACCATTTTGGACAGAGCCCAATTGACCTGGAGGTTCCTCTCCACAGTAACTTGGTGACATACTGGACAGGAGTTTTTCTCCTGCTTTTCCCAGCTCCCGGCGACACAGGAGCGACAGAAGTTGTGGCCGCAGTCCAGACTAACAGGATCAGTGAAGAACTCCAGACAAATGGCACAGTTTAGCTCCTCGGTCCAGCACTCAGCCTGGAGTCCCGAAGCCATGTTCAGCCCAAACACTAACCTGTTTGGCTTCTCAGACTATATGTGGACGTGGCAAAGGCTCAGTTGCCTCCCAAACCGGTTCCTCAGGTTTGCGATGACATTATTATTGTATCAGAAAGAATTCCGACTGAAAGCGCAGAGAGGAGAGGCCAACAGCCAGAACCACACATCTGTCCACAGCCCAGTCTCATTGCCAATGGCCTCGCAATCACATAGTCTGAGCTGATCCTCCGATGCACTGCTGGGGCTGGTGCTGTATGGTTCAAAGTGTGGTGCTTCGGATGAGACGTAAAACCAAGCTCCGGTCTGCCTGCTCGGGAGGACTGTAAAAATCTCCTGGCGCTATTCCAAGCGAAGGGAGTGTCTCTATCTCTCTGCGTCTCCTGGAATGATTATCTGTGCCGATGTATGAGCTCTGGGGAAGGGAAGGGCTGTGTTCTGGAGACATAGTTTCTCTCTCGGTTCTGGTTGCCATGACATATATGAGCGACTTGAACAGAGGAGAATGACAAGCGTTAGAGGAACAAACTGAGCGACAATCAGACCAGAGATGTGAGACAAAAAGCAGCTCAGAGGAACATTTTCCAGGTGTTTTATCGTTTGTTAAACGCATCGAACACGTGAAAAGAGAAGGGTGTCATGGCCCTGAGAGCAGCACAGGAGGCGATTGGGGGATGTGAAGGGCAATGTTAGGCCAGACAGCAGAGAGGGTTTTAATCAATGGAACAAATTAACGCGATAGTCATAGTTTTGGGCATAGTGTGACTTTGAGGCATGTGCGAAAAAAGTCTGCTCTCTGCTCTCTCCCTACATTACTACACGCTGCCTCCGCTCGACTGGCTCCAGCCGGCTCCCTGTCGCCCACAAGCTCCACTAAGATGTGAGATGGCTGAGATTATATCAGTCCCGTCGTGCACTGGTTGTAAAGCTCACCTTGGCAAGGAAAGCAAAATGACCCGGGTTCCACTCCCAGCCGGTCAATACCTAAGGCAAGGTTCCTTACCCCACTATATGCCGAGCGCTGAGTACGAACCCGTTGTCAGTCGCTTGGCGGATCGCTTTATTTTGATAATTATCCATTAAAACAATCCATGATCGCTCAATGCACAACTGTTTGTGGGGACTTACTGCTGAGAGCAATTGGATGTTGTATTTCTTCCACAAAATATATACTCAGCTCACTTCACTGTATATTCTGTGAAGCGCTTTCAGACGTCTTGAAGACGTTATCAAGCGCTGTATTAAATGGATATATTATTAAAGTTAATTGTATTATTATATGACGGTTACATTTCAATAATGGTGGCTTCATTATAATCCTAAGTTTGATACATTGCTGTAGAGCATCAACAAGTCGTCTCAATACGCTTCACAGAATATACAGTAAAGTGTAGTGACTGTATGTCATCTGCGCCAAACAGGGCGATAAGCAAACGTTTTTCAACAATCTTTGAAAGCAAACGTAAGGAACCCAGCGACAGGCTCTTTTGAAACAAATCATAGACAGTTAAAAAAGTGATTGCATGATGAAAATCACAGAGCAAACGTCTTGCAACAATAAGTCGCCTATGAAAAGCGCTGTTAATTTACACTTCAATCTATTGTGTGAAGAGCTTTCCGACGAATTTGAGAAAGGACGAGGCGCTATATCAAATGCAGTAATTATTCCGCTGATGTTGCAGCAGGTTTTATTCTGAATGTCTCTTCCTTTATCCCTTTGCTGCGCAAAACCACAACGGTGACATCAGCGCGAATGCTCACCCGCGTGTGTGCACCAACTGCTCCCAAGTGGGGAGGCGTGTGAGCACTCACACGGACACGCCAGTGGCTACGCATGAACATGTCGTTGGCCACACATTTAATTGCGGAGGTGCGCACATGTACACTCCGGTGGCTACACATGTGTGTGCGAATGCCGATGAGGTTATGAGGGTGAGCTGTGCGTGTGCATGGGGAGACACCAGGGCTGGAGCTTCAGCCTGTCCCACTCCATGGACAACCTTCCCTGTTAGTTAGTTAGTTAGTTAGTTAGTCATTCAGTCAGTTAGTTATCTAGTTAGCTATCAGGGCTTTGGCTGCTTATGATATGGTGAAGTGGAGTCCTGTAGCTCAGTGGTTAGAGCACTCGCTTTGCAAGTGAGACACCTGAGTTCAATTCCAGGCAGAGGGCGAAACCTCGGGCAAGTTTCCTTACTCCACACAGAGCCTAATAATAATCCCTCTAAAAAAACAAAATAGTAATAAATTGGTCATTCTCAATCTACGACTGTTTGTGGAACATTGCTGTGCGAAATTGGCTGCCGCGTTCACCCACAAATATACAGTCAATTCACTTTACAGTGTGTTCTGTGAAGCGCTTTGGGACGTCCTCCTGACGTGAAAAGCGCTATATCAAATGCAAGGATTATTATTATTATTATTATGCGGATGACGCCCAACTCAACCTTTCCTTCTCTATCCTCAACTCCACGACCACCGATGTCCTGACAGCTGTCTGTCCGACATCGAGTGCTGGACGACAGATAACTGTCTTCAGCTCAAGGTGCGCAAAACTGAGGCCCTCCTGATTGGCTCACCTCAGCGCCTCCGCACCTCAGGCGCTGACAGCATCAGCATCCAAGTCCGCACTCTCCACCTCTCAAAGCCATCAGGAACCTGTGGGTTCTGTTCGACCCTGAGCAGTCCTTTCTCCCTCATATCCGAGCCACAACTGGCACTGCCTTCCATCACCTCCGAAATATCGCCAGACTACGGCACTACCTCAACCCTCACGCGGCTGAAACTCTGGTCCACGCCTTTATCACCTCAATGCTGGACTATGGGAACTCTCTCCTCGCCGGACTTCCCGGCTCCTCCCTCCACAGGCTGCAGGTCATTCAGAACTCTGCAGCTCGTGTACTGTCCCGCACCAGGCTTCGGGACCACATCACTCCCACCCTCGCTCGCCTCCACTGGATTCCCATCCCCCAGAGGATCGAATTCAGGATCCTCACCCGCACCTACTCGGCCATTCACGGCCTTGCACCCTCCTACCTCTCTGACCTACTATCCCCCTACCTACCTGCCCGTACCCTCCGTTCCTCTGGCTCCGGTCTGCTCCACATCTCCCGCCCCAACCGCCCTACCATCGGTGGCCGGTCCTTCAGCCTCTCATTCCCTAGGTTCTGGAACTCCAACCCTCAGTGCATTCACCTTGCCTCCTCCCTTTTCTCCTTCAAGGTAGGTCTCAAGACTTTTCTCTTCGACCGTGCCTTCAGCTCCCCTCTCGGCTCTCTTCCCCTTTATCGCTCCCTCACTTCCCTCACCTCACCCTAACCATTTCCCCCCAATGCTCGGGTCCCAACCCAACTGCCCAGCGCCTTTGGACGACCTCCCGACGTGAAGGGCGCTCTATAAATGAAATCTTGTTGTGGTTGTTGTTGTTGTTGTCAGCCAAGATGCGGACACTGAGAGGAGAGGAGGCGGATTAGTGGGATATTGTCCCACTGCAGGAGACTGCAGGGGGCAGTGGTGTTTGGGCCCAATCACTCCGCCTTGCCCTTTCCTTAGCCTCCTTCAAATCCCGCCTCAAGACCCTCCTCTTCGACTATGCCATCGTCCATCCCACTTGTCCTTCCCTCCCTTCTCCCCCCACTAACCCTACTCGCATCTGAAGTGCTGCAAACTGTCCAGCGCTTCAGGATGTCCTCCCGACGTGAAAGGCGTTATATAAACGTAATCTTGTTGTTGTTATTTAAAATGCAGCTAAATATCGATATAAAAATGCACTGCTAATCACTATCTGCGGTGTGAACCTTCGTTCCTTTAATTTCTGAAAAATGGTTGCACCCAAAGCAGATTTCAAAACGTATTATTCTATGCCACTGTATTGATCCTTCGTCCCCACCACAGCACCACATATTTTTGTAGACAAAATTTCAGAAGCACAGAAAAGCAATTCATGAATTGCCGATGGTGTTGTTTCTCTCAGTTGTTCGGTTACGCCGAAATGTGAGGCAAATTTCCTTATTCCATTCGTCTGTTCACTGGTTTACTCGAATTTGGAACCCAGTTACGGCGGTAATAGTAGTTCCCGACGAAAATTAATAATAATAATTTGGTCACTCAATCCATGACTTGGACGGATACTGTTGGTGAGCAGTTGACTGCTGCATTTCGCCCATAACATACACAATCAAACTACTTTACAGTTTATCCTGTGAACCGCGTTGCGACGTGTTGACGACGCAATAAGTTTCTGTATCAAACACAAGAATTACTATTATTATCGGAACTCAATATATTTTATTTAATATACATTATGCAAATGCATTTCTCACCATTATGTATGTAACCAGTTATTTGGAGAATGGCAATGAACATATTTCTTAATGTTTCGTTACATATTTGTAATGCGAAAGCTCATTCGATCCACAACCAAACATGGCCACAACCCAAGTTAGGAGACGTTCAATGTTGATGGTTCAGGGAGCAGGAGCTTAACCGTTGCAGATAACGACTCTATTTGGAAGGAAACAGTGCATAATTGATAACCGCTCATCATGTTGTTAGGCTTACCTTGTGTTTATGATGTTTTTCCTTTAATTTAGCAACGATATTAAATGGATAAACTGAACCGTTCTTGAGCTCCTCTCTGAACTTAGTCTGAGTCAATGCGTAAATACAGGAGTTGGTAAAACTCAACCTTGAAAGCATGATTCCGGTTTCTTCGACGATAAACCGCATGTCGTTGACCAAAAGTTTCGTTGACAGTATAATTGGAAAGTTGCCATTTCAAAGAAAATATAACATTTGTTATGCGGAATAGTATAAAACTGCCTGATACGGCGAAGAGTAAAACGATGGATTTTCTGCGGTTTTCCAACTCTGGATCAATTGTTTTCCCAATAGTTCTCTGAATACGAAGACTTCTGCGAACTTTACTGGTCATCAGAATGTGCCTAATAATCAGAGCATTGAACAGACAAATCAGACCAAAACCAAACAGGGAACCAATAACGCAGTGAAGCTTTTCAAACGCTTTCCAGGCGGCCAAAGTATAATAGTTTGATTTGAAGACACAGTACCACGGATTGCCGTCAAGTATAACGTAAGGATCAAATGTAAAGTACCAGGGAATGCTCACTAAACAGCTGAAAACAGACAGAGTTACAATAACCAATGTGGCCGTTCTCTCTGTGCAAAATTTGCTTTTCAAGTTTTGGCAGCAAATAACTACAAATCGGTCGAAAGTGAAGGCAACAGTGAACCACACAGAGCAGTGGACAGTTGCAGATATCAACATAACTGTAAAACTGCACACTGGGGTGTAGAATAAGAAATTTAATGGAAAATAGAGAATTTTTATTTTATTCAACAACACATCTACAATGACAACCAGTAGATCCGCCGTTGCCATGGCTATCATGTAGCGAGTGATATTCTTGGAGTGACCGCACTTTCCTCTTGATAGGATCACAATCGCGAGAAAATTAACTGCGAGAATCAATAACAATAGAAAACACAATTTAGATGAATAATAATTATTAGATTCAAAGTGCAAAACTGTAACACATTCCACTGAGCTGTCTTTGAATTGTTTCACACATGTTCGCACGAAAAATACAGTAGGTGCCATTTCGAGCAAAATATCTTCCTCAAAATATTGATTGATTATTGAACAGGGAAATTATTAATTTGCATAAAATGGTTTGATTAGAATTGTAAATGTTGGAAACTATGTTTGCATCAACTGCTTCAATTACTTTCGAACTCAGTTAACATCAATTAATACTTGCATGTGTCATTCACGTATGTGCAATATCTTCACCTTTAGTAATTCGGTAAGCGAGATCGAATCACCAAAGCATTTGGGGATACCAAATGGGGGCATGACTTTACTTACCTCTCCTGATTTCTGACCACCATGAAAAGTGCAGAATGCTGATATTTCCTGAAAGGTTAGTCAGTTCAATCTAGTGCACTATACCTCCATTAATCCACAGCAATTAGCACACTTGTACTGAGAAAGCAAAGTGCAATACTCAAAGAGGAAGGATTCGCTTTTTCAATTCATTAACTAAGACAACATTTTTAAATATTAGATGAAATATGTAAACCAAGGAAATTCGAAAGCAATTTGCTGATTTTGCGTGATTATTGGACATCCGTTGTCCCGGCAGGGTGAAATCTTGGGCACGCTTCCTTACCCCACAAGCTTGATAATGATCCCTCATAAAAAAATTCTCACTTCAATCCACAACTGNTTTTTGGACACTGATGTGCGCAAAATTGCTGTCGGGTTTCGCTCATGAATAGGTTATGAATTTCAACTAACTTGAAAGTATATTCCGGGAAGCGCGTTGAAGCGTCTGGAAAAGCTGTTAAGGCGCAATATCAAATGCAAGGATTACTAANTTTTTTGTTGAAAACACAGCTAACCATTGAGTAGTATTACTGAACGCTCGTTGTGTTAAATAGCATTGCCTACTATTGTTAATATGACTTGGAACTCATATTACTCTGCTCCATATATAATAGGGATGTAGAAGACCAGAAAACACCAATACCAGCAGAGACTTCAACAACAACAGCAACAAGATTCCATTTATAAAGCGCCTTTCACGTCAGGAGGACGTCGCAAGGTGCTGCACAGTTGGGTCATGACCCGAGTAGGGGGGAAATGGTCAGGGTGAGGGGAGGGAAGAGAGGGAGCGAGGAGGGGGGAAATGCTCAGGGTGAGGGGAGGGAAGAGAGGGAGCGAGGAGGGGGGAAATGGTCAGGGTGAGGGGAGGGAAGGGAGGGAGCGAGGAGGGGGAAGAGAGTCGAGAGGGGAGCTGAAGGCTCGGTCAAAGAGAAAGGTTTTGAGACCGGCCTTGAAGGAGGAGAGGGAGGAAGCGGCGAAGGCACTGGGGGATAGAGTTCCAGAGCCTCGGGGCTGAGAGGCTGAAGGCTCGACCACCGATGGTAGGGCGATTGGGGCGGGGACGTGGAGCAGACCGGAGCCGGAGGAACGGAGCGTACGGGCAGGTAGGTAGGGGGATAGTAGGTCAGAGAGGTAGGAGGGAGCGAGGCCGTGAATGGCCTTGTAAGTGAGGATGAGGATCTTGAAATAAATCCTCTGGGGGATGGGGAGCCAGTGGAGGCGAGCGAGGGTGGGAGTGATGTGGTCCCGAAGCCTGGTGCGGGACAGTACACGAGCTGTAGAGTTCTGAATGACCTGCAACCTGTGGAGGGTGGTGGCGGGAAGGCCGGCGAGGAGAGAGTTCCCATAGTCCGGCCTTGAGATGGCAAAGGCGTGGACCAGGGTTTCAGCAGCGTGAGGGGTGAGGTAATGCCGTAGTCTGGCGATGTTCCGGAGGTGATGGAAGGCAGTGCCAGTTGTGGGGCGGATATGAGGGAGGAAGTACAGCTCAGGGTCGAACAGAACACCGAGGTTCCTGATTGCTTTGAGAGGTGGAGAGTGCAGCCTTGGATGCTGATGGTGTCAGCGCCTCAGATGCGGAGGCGCTGACGCGAGCCTATCAGGAGGGCCTCAGTTTTTCGGACGTTGAGCTGAAGAAAGTTTTCTCTCGTCAAGGACTCGATGTCAGACAGGCAGCTGTCAGGACATCGGTGTTCTTGGAGTTGAGAGTTGAGGAGGAAATGTAGATTTGTGTGTCATCCGCATACATGTGGAAATTAACTCCATGTCTACGGATGATGTCACCAAGGGGGAGCATGTGGAGCATGAAGAGGAGGGGACCGAGGACAGAGCCTTGAGGGACACCACATGAGACAGTGCGGGGGGTGGAGTAGAAGCCATTTGTCGAGACAAAGTGAAGATCAGTCAGTTATACAGAGACCAGGGCAATTTTACAGAGAATAAGCCTGTTATACAGAGACCAGGTCTATCATGCACAGACCATAGCTTGTATGCAGAGAGCAGTGTTGTTGTACAAACATCAAGACAGTTGTAATGTCCAAAGATTTTGTACAGCGATAGACCTCTTATAAAGTCTCCATGCCAGTTATACAGAGTCCAAGCTGCTATAAGGAGACCAGGCAAGTTATGCTGAGATCCAGCTTGTTACGGAGACACTTGGCCTGTTATCCAGAGATCAGGCTTTAATACAGGGATAAGGTCAGTTATATGGAGACCAGCCCAGTTACACAGAGACCACGCTTGCTGTAACTTCAAGAAAACTCCACGGTCTTGTTCCACCGTACTTCTCCGACTTCATAACCGCAAATAAGACTGTCTGCTCCCTCCGCTCGGCTGACACCGGCCTGCTTCAGATCCCCCGCAATTCCCACCCCACCTTTGGAGGTCGGGCATTCAGCATCTCTGTCTCCACACTCTGGAACTCTTCCCGCATTCCCTCTGCCTCACCGCCTTCAAGTGCCATTTGAAGGTCTTTGTCGTCGACCTTCAATTTCAAAAGCCCTCATTGCCTTACACGGCCCTTCCTCCGCCACCTCCTTCAACTCAACTGACCCGGCCACACCAATCGGTCAAAAAACGCAGTTCGCTTGTTATCACCCCTACCCAACCCATTATCCGCCTCACCGTGCGAGATTTCCGCCATTGTACATGTCGTGCACCAGAAAACCATCTCATAGAAAAGAGATCTTTCAAACAACCTCAAATTAACCCATTTGATGGCGCTTTTTGTCATCCTCCAACCCGTCCCCGCCCCACCCAACATGCACACCACCCCTCTACATATTCCAACGCCTTCCTTGCTCGGTTGTCCTTGTCATTGTACAAAGTTTTCTCATCTTCTCTTGGGATCAAAGTCACAATAAACGGATTTCACAAGAAGAGACTAAAGGAGAGGGTCTGGCAGCTCAGTGACTGGGATCCGCCTACAAACTTACATCGAAACCGAAACCAGTTTCAATCAGGAAGTGCTAAGGATCAAAATGGCTTCTAGACTCCCGGCTGAGATCTGGACCGAGGAGATCATTTGCCCGATTTGTCTGGATTTCTTCACTGATCCTGTTAGCCTGGGCTGTGGCCACAACTTCTGTCGCTCCTGTATCACCCGGAGCTGGGAAAAGCAGGAGATCAACTGCTGTGCTGTTTGTCAGGAGACATTTACAGAAAAGAACCTCACAGCCAGTTGGGCCTTGGCGAGTCTAGCAGAGAAAGCTCGAAAATTGGGCCTGACCCCGACACAGACGGAAAATAAACTTCACTGTGAGAAACACCGGGCGCAACTGAATCTGTTCTGTGAATCTGACAAGAAAGTGCTGTGTGTAGTTTGCAGTCATGGGCAGGAACACAGAGGCCACAGCTTCCTACCCATTGAAGAAGCTGTTGAAATCTATAAGGTAAGAATACTCCTCAAGAAGGATTGTATCTGATCCACCTGATATTTTCACCTTCAAGCAGGTTAATTCTGTGTATTTATTCCAGGAAAAACTTATATCCTCCTTAGCTTCTCTCACACAGAGGAAGGAACCTGGTTTACAAGCAGAAGCCAAACAGAAAGAAAAGATTTCACAACTGAAGGTGAGATTTCACAAATGATGTCTCAGTGTCTCAAATTACTGTGTGTACACGGTGTTGTCTCAGTGTCTCCAATTACTGTGTGTACACAGTGTTTCGGCTCAGTGTCTATGTTTACTGTGTGTACACGATGTGATGTCTCAGTGTCTCTGGTTAGTGTGTTTACACGGTGTAATGTCGCAGTGTCTCTGGTTACTGTGTGTACACGGTGTGATGTCTCATCGTCTCTGGTTACTGTGTGACACGGTGTGATGTCTCGGTGTCTCTGTTCAATGTGTGTACACGGTGTGATGTCTCAGTGTCTCTGGTACAGTGTGTAATGGTTGGATGTCTGACATTTGCAGGAACAGGTGAACAGTCTGCAGACCCACGTCACGGGTGAGTTTGCTAAAATGCACCAGAGTCTGACGGACAGAGAGCAGCGAGTGATGCGAGATCTCAGACAACGAGAGGAGGAGATTTTAAAGCGAATGGAGACAAATCTGCGAGAGATTCAATGCAAATTAGATTCTGTTGAACAACAACTCTCCGAGTTACAGACACAGATGGGAAAAGACGCTCTCACCTTCCTGCAGGTAAAGAGATGACAATATAATGGCGTTGAGTAACAGTTACACAAAATTCTGGAGCAAACAATCTAATTGTGATTGATAAAGAGTTAAAGAGATCAGCCATTGAATTGGGTCTTGAGAGACGCAGTCCACATGAAACTTTTTGTTGTCGGTTGTGACTCAGGTGGAGATGACATCTGTCTGTGTTTGATTTCATTAGGAGGAAGCTGCTGTCAAAAGAAGGTATGAAATGATCTTGACCAAACATTCCAGAATTGAACCCACAAACCGCCCACAAGGTGCAGTTTCACATTATATTGTGATCGTGTCTTATTTCAGGGTCAGTGACGAGGTGTTTGATCTGTCAGTGTGTGAGGATGAGCTGCCTGTGGCCAAGTACAAATGGCCTTTGAAGAACACAGTATGGAGACAGATTATAGACAACATCAGCCCAGGTAAATGTCTCCCATTCTCACCCTGAACCCGTGTCAATAGACTTGTATTCACCTGGTTCCCAACACATACCCTCCACACACTCCCGCACACAAACACATACCGACTCCTCACTCACATTTGCACATAATCGCAACACCCTCACAGACACCCGCACACAACTCACACACACACGCTTTGCACACACAAATCACACACACATAACTCTCACACACAACTCTCCCTCACACCTCACACACATCTGAAACATAAACCCCTCACAACACTCATCAAACATAGCCCTCACACACACCACTCACACACCTCACAGACACCTCATAAACACCTGTCTCAGACACACGTATTCACGCCTCACACACTCATCTCTTACACACACCTGAAAGCATACACAACAAATACATATCTGATACACAAACACCTCAAAATACTAATTACGCATAAAACTCACACAGAACGCTCACACACACATCTCACACAAACCATACACAAACTTCTCAACCACACCTGACACACACCCCTCAAACACACAACTCTCACATAAGCACTGCTTACGTAACACAGCTCTCTCTCACACCTCTTACAAACATCCCCTCACACACGCTTCACCCACAAACACACCTCACACACACACACACACACACACATCTCACATACATCTATTACAGGCTTAACCCTGAAACACATATCGCTCACACATTCACACCCTCTCACGTAAAGCCTCGTGCACACATTCACACACACAGTCACACACACACACACACACAAACTTACCCTCACACACCCACACATACAGCCCCTCACACATCCCCTCAAACAGACCGTCATACGGATCCTCACATACACGTTCCCACTTCCTCACGCACACCTTCACACACACTCACACACAACCTCACACACACCCTCATACACAAACCATGTATGTGGAGTCCTGTAGTTTCAGTGGTTAGAGCACTCGCCTTGCTATTATTACCCTGTCATACACACACAGCCACTCACACCTCTCAAACCCATCCCCCCTCACACAGACCCTCGTAAAGACCCTCACTTGCACGCTCACACACACACTCACCTATCACCTCACACAAAACCCCTCACAAAAACTCTCACACAAAGACACTTCCCGCTCACACAAACCCTCACACACACACTCACACACAACAACTCACACGCATCGTCAAACACACCCTCACACACACCCGCACACCACCTCTCTCACAACCACTCACACAAACCCTGACACACACCACTCACATGCACCATCAGAAACCTCACACACACCCCTCAAACACACCTATCACACACAACCGTCCCATACGCCCTCACAAACATCCTCACACGTACCCTCACACATTCTCACATAACCCCTCTCTCATTCCCTCAAACACACACACAATCCTCTCACACAGCTCCCCCCCAGTCACACTCACACACACCCTCACACAAACCTTCACACATCCCCTCTCACACCCTCTCACACACAACTTCACACACACATTCACTCTTACACACCATCAGAGGTGTGTACAACTCACACGCCACCTCACGCACACCCTCTCACACACTCATACGCAGCTCTCATGCAAACCCCTCACATACATCCTGACACACACCCTCACACACACCCTCACACGCACGCCTCAAACACCCACTCACAGACACACCTCACACACATCCTCACACATAGCTTGACACACACCCTCATACAATCCCTCTGACACTACCTCAAACACTCACGCGGACACTGCCTCAAACACTCACGCGGACATACCCCCTGAGGATCCTCCTCACACAAACCATCACAAAAACCCTCCCACACGCCTTCACGTAACCATTCACACACTAACACTCACACACATCACCGCACAGACCCTCACAAAACACTCACACACACACACAACCTCACAAACACTTAAACAGACACTCACACAAACCCCTCACACACACCCCTCAAAGACCCTCAAAAACCCCTTCGCACACACACTCACACACAGTCACATACACTCTCCCATACACAACCCTCACATATCCTCACACAAACACTCACACACGTCCTCACATATTCCGTCACACATCCCCTCACACAGTTCAGGACACATTCTCTCACACATACACTCACAAACACCCTCATACACAACTCTCACACAAACATTCACACACAACCGATCACACACACACTCACACATCCTCACACACACCGTCGCGCACACTCACAACCTCAAACACACACCCTCACAAACACCCTCAAACACCCCGCTGACACGCACACCCTTACTCATCCACTCACACACACCCTCACAATTATTCGCACACACATCCACTCACACACACACACACCCTCGCACAGAAACTCACACATTCCCTCACACAGCCTCTCACATACACCTTCATAAAACCGCTCACACACCATCCCCAACACACACCCTCACACAAACCCTCACGCACACACTCACACGCACCGTCACACCGACTGTGACCCTCTGAGCTGGATTGTGTCCCTAGCTTTAGTTGTCTTCACACACGGTCTGAGCTCTCAGACGTCCTCTCACTCCACTTTGTGTTGTTTCTCTCTCTCAGCTCCGCCCTCTCTGACACAGGGATCCTGACACAGCCCATCCCGACCTCATCCTGTCTGAGGACCTGACCAGAGTGAGACACGGAGACACAGGGCAGCAGCTCCCGGTCTCCCCAAAGAGGTTTGATACCTGTCCCTGTGTCCTGGTGTCTGAGGGCTTCACATCAGGGAGACATTACTGGGAGGTGCAGGTGGCCAACAAGACTGAGTGGGATGTGGGATTGGCCCGAGAGTCTGTCAACAGGAAAGGAGAGATCGCACTGTCACCAGGGAACGGATTCTGGGCTGTGACACTGAGAAACGGGGATGAATATAAAGCTCTGACCTCTCTGGTGCATCAGTTCTCCGTCTGTCCCTGAGAGAGAGACCCGTGAAGCTGGGAGTGTTCCTGGACTATGAGGGGGGAGAGGTGACATTTTACAACGCCGATAACATGTCCCATCTCCACACTTTCACCCAGAATTTCACTGAGAAACTCTAACCTTACTTCAGTCCCAGTTTGAATTATGGCGGCAAAAACTCACAGCCTCTGAGGATCTGCGGGTGATGGGTTAATGAGGAGGAAACCCTCAGCCATGACCTGTGTTTGTTTGTGATGGCCACGAGGCTGAAACTTTTATAATCTGTGTCGCTATACAATAAAGCTTGTGGTTTATATTACAGCTTTCACACTGTGCCCACGGCTCAAACCTTTCACGATGTACTACATCTCTCTTTCTCTATCAGTCACTCTCTCTTTCTCTCTCTCTGACACTCTCTGTTTCCATGTCAGACAGACAGAGTGAGTGTGAGAGTAAAGGAGAGTGTCTCTGTGCCTTTCTGAAGGGCATTGGCGGCCATCTTTGTTAATGGGTTGGTGGGGAGGAGGGGAGTCAGGTGGTGACGGCCGTCTTGCTAACGGTGATGTGATCCGGTCGGTAACATCATGTGTGTGACGGCAGGAGCCTGGCGCCCGCCATCTTGGTAAAGGCGGCGGGAGTCAGACTGTGACGTTGTGTGCCTGACGTAGGAAATCTGGCGGCCGCCATTTTGGTAAAGGCGGCGGGAGCCGGGCAGTGACGTCATGTGACTGACGTAGGGGCGGAGCCGCGAGCCGTTCGTGTATGTGTGCGTGTGGTTTGGGTGTGAGCTGTTTGTGTTTGTGTATGTCTCTGTGTGTGTGTCTGTGTCTGTCTATGTGTTTCTGTGTCTGTGTGTGTTTGTATGTGTGTGTGTGTGTGTCTGTGTCTGTCTATGTGTGTTTGTGAGTTAGTGTGTGTGTATGTGTGTGTTTGTATGTGTGTGTATGTGTGTGTGTGTGTGTGTTAGTGTGTGTGTGCGCCCTTACAACCTGTCCGGCATCAAACACACTGTGAGTGACAGTGGGTTACACACACTGTGTTTACTCTGATCCCTGTCATGTCTCTGTGTCTCTGATCTCAAGGCTGAACAGTAACAGACTGACCGATGGCTGCACTGATGCTCTGGTCTCCGCTCTCAGTACAAACCTCTCACTGAGGTTCCTGGACCTGAGGCTTAACTCCTTCACAGACGGCTCTGTCCGCGCTCTCCGGCGCCTCATACAGACCTGCACCAGTCTGGAGAGGATCAGGTGAGTGTTCGTGTCAGTGTTTAATGTGATAAACACACAGAGAAAGGGCTGCGGATCAGAATGGGAACAGTTTGAGGGGATTTGTTTATTCATTAAACTGCGACATGAACAGTTTTGCAGTTTGTGCCATTATCCCGTGGGTTCATTTCCTGTTTAATGTGTTTCAGGCTTTTGGGGAATGGGTTCAGTTCAGACGGAGAGAATCAGTTGGAGTCACTGCGGGGAATCAGAGCTGAGATGTCAGTGATAGTGTGACACTGACTGAGGCAGTGACTGTCCACACAGTCTGTGTCATATGGCATATATTCTGGACACTGTAGTGACTGATTATTAAAGATGTTGATCCTGATTCCTCTCCCATCTCTGCTCTGGGGACCGTTATTGACACACACCGACTCCGGGCGTGTGGGCGGCTTTGGAGAGCCCCGAACCTCAGTCACTGCTAAACTGCTGTAAGTGACCACAACTGATGCACTTTCTCTCACAGTCTCTCTCTCTCTCTCTCTCTGTGTCAGTCTCTCTCAGTTTATATATTTCCGTCTCTCTATTTCTTTCTCTCTATTTCATTGTCTTTCTTAGTCTCCGTCTCTCTCTCTCTCTCTTTCTCTCTAACTCTGTGTGTGTGTGTGTGTGTGTGTTTGCCTCAGTCAGTGCGTGTCTATGAGATTGTGGGCGAGAGAGCAGTCAGTCTGTGTGAGAGAGAGAGAAGTTAGTGTGCGAGAGAGAATGAGAGCAGTGAGTGTGTGAGAGCAGTCAGTGTGTGTGTGTGTGAGAGAGCAGTCAGTGTGTGTTTGTGTGTGGGAGAGCAGTCAGTGTGTGTGTGTGAGAGAGCAGTCAGT